TCAGAGGGAGAAGCAGACTCCCCGCCGAGCAGGGAGCCCCGATGCGGGACTCGATCCCGGGACTCCAGGATCATGACCTGAGCCGAAGGCAGTCGCTTAACCAACTGAGCCACCCAGGCGCCCAGTATCCTGTATCCTTGATCCAATGTGAGGAAGTAAGAAATCACCACCCTTAACTTAGCACCTACTACATGCAAGACCCCCCAGCTCAGTGTTTGGCCCATATCACATCATTGCATCCACAGCAATCCTGGGTCAAGGGAGACATGACTAACCCCGTTTTGCAGAGGAGGAAACCACAGCTAAGGGAGTTTCTGTGGTTTGTCCAAGGTTACACAGCTAGGACTGTTGTTTGGTTGTAGTCAGTCCCCTTGCTGGGTCACCAGGCTGATCTTCACAGCACAGAAAGGGGCTGGGTCTTTCAGCTTGTTGTGACCACACCCCCCACCCCACCCCACCCCCGTTTCCTGGCTTGTCCCATGTAGAATGTGCTCGGCAAGTATCCCTTGATGGACTGACTGTCCTCTCCTTGTCTTTCCCCCTTAGACATGGGGTGGGACTGGGGAGGGATGTTGGAGGGAGCCACGCTGGGGGCCCCTTAGGGTCTCTGCCAATGATTCTGGCTTCTCTACCCACTGAGGGAGGGGGGCGGTGGCCGCTCCCAAAGGGCTTGGGACAGCCATATGGTGAAGCTGAGGTGGGAAGCAGCCACATTTATAATACCATGTGGTTTTAACATGGACAGGGTGCTTACTTGGGCTGGGTTTATGTGAGGTGTGTGAGGGGCTGATGATGGAGATTATGGCAGCCCCTCTGGTCCCCAGAGTGGGCCGGGGGGTTCCGCAGAACCAGTGGGACCCTAAGTGCTGGGTCCATCCCTGTCGCAGGCCCCCTGTTCGCCGTCTCAAGCTCTGCGTGGAGATCTCATCCTGGGCCAGTGAACGCACAAGCATTCTACCTCCACCTGCTAGGAGGTGGATTCGTTAATGACAACCAAGTCACTTTTATTTTAATTTGGGATTTGTGTGTGCTTCCCACATATTCTACATTAATGCGTATTATTAATTAGAGAAGGTGCTATTTTTGAGAGTCAAAATCACTTTGGCAAACACTCCAATACCAGTAGCTAATTCCACGCCCAGACTCTGGGACCTCTCCACTGTTGTTCTAGAACTTCCCTGAAGGTATGCAGGGAGGGGAGGAGGGGGGGAGCAGATGAGAACTTGGGGTAGAAACTGGGGTTGTGACACTGACCTCCATCCTTGGCTTCATCTGACTTACATAGCACCTCTGAGCCTCAGTTTTCCTCTTCTGTAAAATGGGGTTAATAATGGTTCTTATCACATAGAATTGTTGTGACAATTAAGTGAGAGCAGGCATGTCAGGTGCCTAGTGGAGGGCTAGCTCCCCGTCACCATGGGCGCCACGTGTCCCCAGCACTCACGATGGCAGTGAGCCAGAATAGGCCTCCATTCATGGGGTCTCATGGACACCTACAGGCAGCGTATTTGCTAGCCCCCAATAGTGGTGACAGTAGCCCAATTCCACGCCACTCAGGGTCACACACTCCGCCAACCGAGGGTTTACTAAGGACTATAAGTAAACAAGTATTCTCATTCTCGTGTTGAGGTCTCAGCTTTCCTAACAAAGTATTCGGCAGGTAGGTAGTGATAGTGATACTTTCCAAAGAAGCTTCTGAAAAGCCAACATGAATTTCCAAAATGCAACACGAGGGCTGATGTGTCAACCCTTTGCCTTGATTTTCAAGGTGTTCTGAAGACACCGATCCCCTTATTAACTTTCCAAGGTGAATCAGCGGGAGCCGCTCAGGCATTTCTCTGCAAAGATGGAGACCCCAAGTCACCGAGGTATGTGCATCCCATCCCAGCGTAAGCAGGTGATGGTGGAAAAGCCCACGCTCTATTCACTTTGCTGACTCCAGGGAGAACAGAGCCATGTGCCCAGGGGTTCTGACGGGCCAGGCTGCTGGGTTTCAAGGAGTCCTGGGGGCTTCACAAAGCATTTCTGGGCATGGCATGCCCTCCTGATAGAGGAAGAAGATAGGAAAATTATAAAAACCGAAAACTAGCAGTTTCTCAAACTGGGTCATGACCCATTAGAGAGAAGTGAGTCATTTCAGTGGGGTAACCGGCACGTTTGCAAGGGGAATGAGAAACAGAAATACTATCGTACGTCCTGTGTCGTAATGCTAAGTACTCTCTCGTGAAATTTTGTGCAAATGCGTGTGTTTTTTTTACTGTGTGTCGTGATCAGACATTTTGAAAAATACATCTTTATTGTATGTAGGGATGCATTTCAGATCTTACCATTTTTAATACAGCGTTTCTAAAACTTTTTTGACAGCAGTAATACCTTCTGCATTGCAAACAGTATGCACACACGTGTGCGTACCCACACCCACAACTAAAACGAAGATTCAGAAAACAGTATTTACTCTTGCTATGTGCAATATAGTCTGACGTTTTCTATTCCAGTCTATTCTATTCTATTCTACAGTGTTCTGTTTTACTTTTCTGGAAATGCTGACCTGGCCTAATAAATTTATTTCACAACCCACTAATGAGTGTCCAGTTAGAACTTAAAAACACTGCTTTAATAGGCCTGGCGGGCATAGCTGTTCTGCAGCTCGCAGCAGAACTTGATGATCATAATGAGGACCCTGAGTCACCAAGAAAAAGTTCAGTCGTGGATCCCATATGCTATTTAAAGCAGCAGAAACATGTGTGGTTCATATTAGAGATGTTTATATTCTCCAAATGGTTGACATATAAACAAAGCTCTGGATCTTCAGGGAGAAGCTAGAAAATTCTCTTGTGTAGGATCCCTGATGCCAGTTAACGCAGGTGCTGCTCTATTTGCTGAGTGGAGGGAGGCCGGGCAGATCTGATTGTGGGGAGAGAGACTTGTGCTCTCTTTGGAGAAGATGCGTTAACTCTTTCCAGGGAGCCGGCTTCCCAGGAGTGGATTACTTCCCACTGTAACTAAATGGATCCTGCTGGCCTAAAAAAAAGGCTTAGTCATTTCGTCCCTGTCTTGAGCATAAATGGACCAAATGGATAAATTGGTTATATACCTTCATTAGGTATATAACTGAAATTCTCCTAGGGGGAAGGTCCAGAAGTGGTGTTCTCCCTGCAGAACAGAGAACATATTGATCCCAGTCGGAGGTCCTGTTCTAAAGAGGCTTTTCATCACCGTGGATATAGGTCTAGGGGAAATTCAAGGTCAAAGTTCCTTCCTCCTGTTGACTCTGCTTCTCAGTGGCTGCTTTTTTTCAATCTCAGGATTGCTTTCTAAAACCTACTCAGTGGCCTGATTCCAAGCATCTTTGATGCCACCACATTCTACACAACCAAGGGGCATAGCCAGGCATTCAGAGTTCAGATTTTTTTTATTATTATGGTAAAATATACATAACATAAATTTCACCATTTTAACCATTTTAAGCATGCGGTTCAGTGGTATTAAGGTCTATCTGCTTTGCTGGGCAATCATCCCCACCATCCATCTCCAGAACGTTTTCATCTTCCCAAACAGGAATGCTCTACCCATAAACAATGACTTTCCATTCCCCCTCGACCCCAGCCCCTACTTTCTGCCTCTACAAATCCACTGCTATAGTACCTCATATAACCATAGGGACCATATAGTATTTGTCCTTCCGGGACTGGCTTATTCCAGTTAGCAAATTATCCTCAAGATTCATCCACGTTGTAGCGTATGTCAGAATTTCCTTCCTTTTTAAGGCTAGATAATACTCCCTTGTATGTACATACCACACTCTGCCTCTTTGTTCGTCTGTTGGTGTTCATCCCTTTTGCCTAGTGTGAATAATGCTGCAGTGAACAAGGGTGTCTAAGTATCTCCTCGAGACCCTGCTTTCAATTCTTTGGGATGCGGACCCAGGGGTGGAATTGCCGGATCGTGTGGTAATTCTATTTCACACTTTTTGAGGAACCGCCACACAGTTTTCCATAGCAAAGATTTTAATGTACTCTATCATGGGGCGCCTGGGTGGCTCAGTCAGTTAAGCACTTGACTCTTATTTTTTTTATTTTATTATGTTATGTTAGTCACCATACAATACATCATTAGTTTTTGATGTGGTGATCCATGATTCATTGTTTTCGTATAACACCCAGTGCTCCATGCAGTACGTGCCCTCCTTAATATCCATCACCAGGCTAACCAACCACCCCC